GAAAGTGTCACTATATCCCGTCTCCGACTGTGTATGGCTCATAGCATGTGTCTCTACGCATCCTGTGACCCCACCAGGAAGTACACTGCCGAGTGTCCTTGCCTCCTCCCCATCCATCTCTCCTCCAGAGGTGTCCTCTGACCCCCCGCACCCTCACACCCCGGCAGTCCCCCAGCCCGGGCTCACGCTGAGGTGATGGCTCTGTACCGCTCCAGGCCGGCCGTGTCCCAGATCTGAGCCTTGACAGCAGCAGTGCCCAGCATGACAGTGCGGGTGGAGAACTCAACCCCGATGGTGGTGCGGCTGTCGTGGCTGAATTCATTGCGAGTGAATCGGGACAGCAGGTTGGTCTTCCCCACTCCGGACTCACCGATCAGCACCACTGAAGGAGAGACAAGGGGTGAGCTGGGCCGAGCCCCCAAGCCTACTGAGCCTGGAGGGTCTGCTCATCAGCACGGGGGAGCTGCTCTCAGAAAACTGGGAGGGAGCAGGGGCTCCTGGCAGGGACTGGGGCCTACACCTTCCCATGCTGTGTATCCGGGGCAGAAGGGCCCAAAACGGGACTCGGCTAAGGGGCTCTCATGGTCCCAGGCCTGGTCTGACCAGACAAGACTGCGGCTCAGGTGATGGGTAGCGTCTGTGGGTGGAGAACTCAACCCCGATGGTGGTGTGGCTGTGGTGGGTGTTGGGGTTCAGGGTCTGTGGGGAGAGGGCAGCAGGGGTGTGAGTGTGGACAGGATGGTAGAGTCTGGGGGAGGGTGCACATCCCTGGAGTAGGGAATGTGAGCACTGAGTTGGGAGGACAAGTGGGAGGGGTGGTGTGTGTGCTTGTGCGGGAAGCATAGGTGGGGCTAGACGTGCGGGTGAGGAGAAAGTTCGGCCGACGGCACGCCTGGGCCAGTGGGGAAGTATGGAGGTGCGTGTGTGTGCGTGCGTGCGTGTGCGTGCGTGCGTGTACATGCGTGCGTGTACGTGTGTATGTGTGTGTATGTAAAAAGTTAGGATCCAGTTGTTCCCAAGGAGGGTCAGTCTTGAATGGGGCTACATGTTAGACCCCCTGTGTGCGTCCTTCAGCAAGTTATTAACTTCTCTGACCTTTTTCACATGAAAAATAGGAATAACAATAGTACCTAATGGGTTACTGTAAGAAATAAATGAGATATTGCCCAAGGTCTAGTGAGTGTGCAAAACTGTTATTCTCATGATTGTTGTTGGTGGGCCAGCATTTTTACCTTCAGGCTTTTAGGGTCAAGCATCCACCAGAAGAGCCCTGAAGAGCCTTTGAGCTGGAGGGCAGGGCCCAGGGCCCAGCCTCACCCACCAGGGCTGATGCGAGCAAGGCTCACAAATTGCACAGGCACTGAGCTAAGCATACAGAGTGAGAGGAAGCCCCCCGATGGCTCTAGAAAGGCATCGTGAGAGGATGTGTGTGTGTGTGTGTGTGTGTGTCTGTGTGTCTGTGTGTTCCTGTGGGTGCCTAGCCCTATCCTTAGGCTCCAAAGGTGCTTAGGGCAAGGGGTTTGAAGTCGGACAGACGCGTTTGTGCTGACTTTGTGACCTTTTGTTTGTTTGTTAATCCTCACACAAGGATGTGTTTCCATTGATTCTTAGTGGAAGGGAGGGAGAGAGAGAGAGAGAAACATCAGTGTGAGAGAGACATATTAATTGGTTGCCTCCTACACGTGCCCCGACCAGGGCTGGGGATCGAGCTTGCAATCGAGGTACGTGTCCTTGACTGGATTGGAACCCAGGACCCTTCAGTCCACAGGCCGACACTCTGTCCACTGAGCCAAACCAGCCAGGGCACTCTGTGGCCTTTCGTAAGCTACTTGGTTCTCATCTGTTAAAGTTTAGGGAGTGCCGACCCCTACTCAGTGCCAGGCACTGACCTAGAGCCTTTACATGTATTAACTCATCTAACCCTCACGACAGTGCCACGAAGCCAGGACCACAATTAGGATCACCGCCTTTTTACAGATGAAGGAGGCACTTGGGGGTAAACAGCTTGAACAAGGTAACACAGCCAGAGTGGTAAGCACAGGTGTGCTGGCCAGATGTGCCGGCCAGCAAGCACTGAGCCCAGCTGCAGGCAGCGCAGTCAGCGGACAGCCCCCCCGCTGCCTGCTCCTTTGGCATCTGCCTCTGGCGCAGAGAGCAGCCTGGCCTGGCCGTGCCTCTCCTGGGCCGTCTGCATCCAGTGCCCAAACAAGGCCAGGGTATCACGGTGCTCCCTGCCTGAGGCTGAGGCTTGGCGATCCTGCCTTGCCGTTTAACTTGTCTCTCTGCCCCGTCCCCTTTCCTCCCCCTTCCTTTCAATGGTGTTGATACACAATGAACATCTTTCAGGGCAAACTTCCTAGTGGCCGCTTCTGGAGACCCCGACCTCAGTAAGTCGTGAGTGGCAGGGTGAGATTTGAACACTCTGTCTGGCGCCTGACCGTTACGCTCCGCTGACCACTACGCTTTCAAAATCAAAGAAGGTTGGGGGGCTGTTATGGTGATTAATAAGCTAGTGGCTGGGCACACAGGAAGGGCTAAACAAATGGTAGGTAGTGACTGGCAGTATCAGTGCCCCAAACTCTTGCTAGCTCTTGCCCGGTCTCCTCTTCCTGGGAAAGATGATCAGAGACAGATGCTAAAGGAGCAGTTGGGAGTACGGGTTCGGGTCCGCCTGTGTCCCAAGTGAGGGTGGGGCTGCGGCTGGGAGAGGCCGTGGGGTGGGGTGGCTGGACAGGGAATCGTGGCTCTGCCAGTCCACCCTGCTCTGAAGGAGGTGTGGCGGTGAAGGGGATGTGGGGGCTGGGGAGCAATAAGGGAGCAAACACAGGAGTTAGCTGAACCCGGTGCCTGGTATTTGGGCCCGGGGGTCTGCCTGTCAGGTGACACACAGAAGGCTACGGCCCTAGGAGTCCTCTGAGCCCTATTAGACCCTGCTCCCAGTTCACCACATCTCCCCTGTATCTTCACCCGGCCCCAAGGCCGGAGAAACCTGTCCTCTCTCCTTCTCTGTACATCTGCCCAGAACGATATGACTTTTCCCTCTTAGGTCTGCCTGTGTCTCCCTCCCTCCACGAGGGAAGTCCTCTTAGACATCTGACCTCTATCTCTCATGCTGCAGCAGGTGACTATTCCTAGGAACTTGGCCTTCCATCAGGAATGGGGCAGAGGAGCCTAAGTAGGCACTATTAGAGAGAGAGAGAGAGCAGCACCATTCATTATTCACAACCGCAGAGCATTCTGGCAGCCCTGAGACTTTTGCTACAGTAACCAGACCCTCCCCCATGCTTGCAGCTTTCTTTCTTATACAAAGGAATGACGAGCCCTGCGGGGTCCGGGTAAGAGATTAAAGAAACAACAGCCACAAAGGAACAGGAGGGACTGCCTCTGTGTCTCTCCCAGGCTCCCTCTTTCTTTAGGAACCCCAACTTACCCTTAAAGACAAAGTTATAATCTTCCTCGGTTCCGTTCCCCATCTTGGCTCCGCATGGAGGGTGCAGGTGTCCTCAGGGGCAGAGGTGACGGGTCTATGCGTGGCCTCAATGCCCTCAACCCTCAGCTCTTAAGAGACCTGGATCTACCCCTTCTCTCATTGGAGGTAAAGAAACTTCTGCAACCAGAGGGATTGGGGGGCAAGGCCCGGGCGGGCTCACCTCTGGCAGGTGGAGGTGCTGCAAGGAAGCTGAGGACGGAACAGGAAGAGCAGGCCGGCTGGAGACCTGGGGCCCAGGTGGGTGGAGACGATGACGTCAGACAGGTTAGACAGGTTGGGTGTCTGCTCTCAGCCGGGCTCCCGCAACGAGGTGAGCAGGCTCCAGAGGGTGACAGTCGGGGAAGCTGGGACAGGGCCTTCAGAGAGCCAGCTGAGGACTGAGTGCATGTTGTTCGGCTCCTGGGACCTGTGGCCAAGACAGGTCAGCTGCCAGAGAACCAGTCCCTCAGGGACCAGAAGCCTACTTGACCTTCTTTTCCTTTAGAGCCTCTGGTGGGGGGAGAGGGGGGCAACTGGGGGCGCCAAGGGAAAGGCTGACAGAATGGCAGCGACCCTGCAGAGCTCTGGGAGTTGCCTCCGGGGTGCAGCACATTCTGCCCCTCCCTGACAGCTCAGGGCCTGGGAGGGGCAGCGTTTCTTACTCCGGGTGGAGCTGGGACTTGCCACCTACCTACTTTCTTAGGATGGGTCCCTTCCTAGAGCACTGGAAGTGGGCTGGGTACTCCCTGCCCAGACCTGCTCTCAGAACACTGGGTAGGGGGAGACCTGGGGCAGAAACAGCCAGACAGGGTGCGGGGTCTGATACAGGGCCAGGATCTGGAGACGAGTGTCTTCAGGTCACTGCCCGGGACCTTTGGCCTCAAAACAAAGCCACCCTGTCTGCAAAGGGCTTCAGGATCTGGGGGTCTGGGTGAGTGTGTGAACGTCTGAGAGAAGAAGAACAAAGGGGTGGCCCCTCCCAACCTAAAGGGTAGAAAAGGCACGAAGTGGGGACTGAAGGATACTGAACTCTCAGGCCCCATATTGTTTTTGTCCAACGTGACCCCCACTGTCCCCCTGCTCCTTGGAGCTCACTTCCAATCACTGTTTCTTTCTCATCGATGTCTCTCTCTCTCTCTCTCCCTCCCCCTTCCTCTCTCTCTAAAGTCAATAAAAACATTAAAAAAAATACACATGACAGGAGTGAAATTTATTCTTGGGAAAAACAAAGTCCCACCCTCCCCCCACAGTCCAGGACAGGTCCCCTGGGGGCCTCCAAGAGGCCAT